ACAATATTTTATTGCAAATTTAATTTATTACTGGTTCCTGTGTCAAAGTATTTAAGCCCCACCTTTAAGGTGAAATAGTTAGGATCAAAGTTATTGTAGGAAAAGAAACTTTGTGGAAGAAAAAAACACAAATGTGCACTGGTGTTTTGTTGGTCAGAAGTGAAATTCAGTGTGGTAGACACTTTAAAGACACTGGGAAAAATATTAATGTGACCAAAACCACTACAAACTATATGCCTGTACATAATCCATTCACTTAAAGCAGCAAGCACTGATCTCACCATGAAAACATTGGAATTCTCTATAAATTAAAAAAAGTGGCTTTCAAGCTTCAATAGGATCTTTCCTTGAACAGGATTACTACTCTTCAAATCTTAAGTTATGAATTAGTTTATGTATATATTTTTACATTAGAGTTGTTTTGTTGTGAGCCTGAATTGAAAAAAAAAATCATAAATTATACATTGAAACTACTACTGAGTTTAAAGCTACAAAAAAAGAGCTTTAAGCAAAAAAAGAAAACAAATTCTATATTTAAACTGAAAATACAGAAACATAATAAAGATAATCACTTTCAAGAAAAGAAATGAAATGTGTTACTTGAGTATCCAGACTGAGCAGATGCTTCTTCCTGGAAATTGATGATTCAGGCAAAGAGAAGCGCTACTACTGATGTTGTTTCTGTGTGTGTTTTATATGTATATGCAGCTCCGCCTCTGCTGAACAACAACTGACCAATCATCAGAAACCACATTCATATTCTCCTCAAAACTATCCAGTTGCTTCCTACTGTTTGTGCCCATGCACATTTGTTTCACTTCCTCACTTGTGAATTACATTTTCAAGAATTAGTAAAGCAGTTCTCCACAGCACTGATGTTTTTTTCTGGTTATTTGGCAATATCCTCCTACTTATTACTCAAGATGTAATCAGACGTTTACAAAATATAATTTTGCTTCAAAGTTTGGGGCCATTTTGAAATGTCCTTGTATCTGAAAGATAAGTGGAATGATAATTTCAAAAGCTCTATGAGTAAAAAAAAATCCGATTAATGGAATCGTTTATCATAGATCAATTTGTCATTAAAAAAAACCCAAATTTTTGTAGGCTTTCAGGAACAATTAGGCTTATATTCCAATGGTGCATTTTGAACTTCACGTACTTTTAGCTTTCTAATGACAATTAAATGTGTAACTGTCATTAAGAAACTCTTTCACAGATCTATTAATGCAGCTGATTTTAATGCAGTGTGGTTATCGGTGCCAGTTGGTCAGGTCTTATTTCAGAAATTGCTAATGTACTGGAAGAAAATATCCAGTGAGCAGAAGTTGGATCCAAGGCATTAAAATGGTTTACTGATGCCAGGGATTACACGAAAATGGCCAGACTGCTTTAGGCTGATAAAAAGGCAGCAGTAACTCAAAAAAACTCTCATTACAATGAAGGTATTCAGAACAGCATCTCTGAATGCAGAACATATCAAACCTTACAACAGATGGACTACAGCAGTTTGCACTAACTCATGAAAGTTGGATAATAGAAGACTGGAAATACGCTGTCTGCTCTGATGAGTCTCAGATTAATTATTTACAAATAACTAATTAAAGCAAAGATGACACATTAAAATTATCAGTTCAGAATTAATATACAGCCAAAACATTTTTGAAAATAAAATATGCATAAATATTTTTTTAAAATGTATTTGTACAAGTATTGATGTTCACAAATTATGTCTAAATAATATTGGTTTTCCTCCAGCATAATTTACTCTAATAAATTACAGTTTTGTTGTGATTTTGTTTTTTGTTTTCTTTATTTATTTGTTTTTGCAGGTTCCTATGAATTTGGGAAAACATTTTATTGTGTTATTGTGTATCTAAAACTGTAAGAGAAACCTTGCACAGTTATTCTTCACAAGCTTTACAATCGAGGACAGAGCCATACACTTCCACTTCACACAGAGTCAGGTATTCATTTCTTCCAGGGATGACTATGTTAACATAGCGGCCATCCATCCCCATCCCGTCACTCGCGTTACAGTGGAACTCTTGAATGGAACCTCCTGGGATGCTTGAGATCACAGCACACCTGGCAGAAGAAGCAGAGATTATTGGCTTAACCCAAGACGTTTACCAGGGCGTTTCACATTGGATTCTTCACTTGGCAGTGTAAAGCTGCAAAATGTGACAACCCCAAAGGTGAAATTGGGCAAATTAAGTGAGATGAGTGGAATCACAGAAATTTTTGTTCATATTCATTTTCTGTTTGGATTTTGGTATTTTCCTTTAAGAGGACTAATATTCTTAAAGGTGAATATGGTTCACATTTATGATTTGCATTTTATCAACCCACTGCTGTACAATAAATTTGCTCTCATCAGTTTTGGAAGATGCAAATGCCCCTATAGTTCCAGTTTGTAATTAATTTAATTTCTATTAAAGTTGCAGTTTTTAGTGTGCATTGTACCTGGGATTATAGTTGCCATTGTTTTCAAGAGAATCTCCGATGCGGATCTCGGCTCCATTTAGTCGTTCTGGGAGAGAATCTATTACATTCAATACCTTAACAGAAAAAACTTTATGGGTTTTGCGCAGATCGAGTCGCCACCAGGGACTGAAGTCAGGTTTTGTACAAGTGCATGATGCCCCATCCCATATGCTGTTATGATTTCCATCTATGGCATTATAGGCAATACCAATTGTATAGAGTGAGGACTGTGAGGCTTTTCCTTGAAGTGCAAGATTTTCTCCTGCAAAAGAACAAATTCATGAAAAAAAATTAAACATTGATGTCTTGTCAATAATCATGTTTCGGCATCAAGAAATGCATTACATTCAATTACATTTTTCAATTCAGTTTTATTTATAGAGAAACATTTACTTTAAAATGCTTTTTATTATAAGGTAAAAACTCTAAAATATTAAAGAGAAAACCCCAACAATCAGGTGATAGCATGAGAAAGCACTTGTCAACAGTGGGAAAAACGAACTCTCTTCATACAAAGAGACTCTGCACAGAACCCGGCTCAGGGAGGTCATTCCATCTGCCTGCACTGGTTACACCTACCAGCCACCAAGGAGGCATCCAAGTCAGATGCAAACCACCTTAACTGACTCCTTCTGATGTGGAGGAGTAGCGACTTTACGTTTAGCCCCTCTCAAATGAGCTTTACACCGTGTGACTAAAGCTGACCCCAGGTACCCCACAGAGGAAGCTCATTTCCACTCTTCGTATCTGCGGTGTGATTGTTCTGATCACTACCAAAGCTCATGGCCATGGGTGAGGGTTTGGGCATATATTTACCAGTACATCTAGAGCCTTCCTTTCAAGCTCATCTATGTTTTCATTAGAATCGCAGCGTTCACGTCATAGCTAGAGCCATGCCACTTGTCCAATTAGGGTCTGGAGTGCATACTCCATTTCCGAAGAGTGAGTAATACACAGCTTCCCCCCTGTCTAAGGAGCTTGGAAAGAAAAGCGTCTGGACTTCTTTAAGTTGCTTGAAGACGTTTCACCTCTCATCCGAGAAGCTTCTTCAGTTCAGTTCTTCCCCCCTAACCTGCCTAACACTTTTCCCAGAATTACTTTAATTCAAATCAGCTTTAATCACATAGCCACAATTCATAATAATAGTAATTACAATATCTCAGTGTGCTTTATATTGTAGAGTAAACCCCCTACCGCAGTGCTCCCCAACCTTTTTTGCGCCATGGACCGGTTAAATGTCAAGCAACATTTTCACGGACCGGCCTTAAAATGTCGCGGATAAATACAACAAAATAAAATTATATAATAATAAACGCCAATTGACTGTGTAGTTGTGTAACTTTATTAGCAGCGTCCTCCTGCAATGCGCCAACAACATTGAGAGTAACGTCCTCCTCTCTGCCCCTTAATGCTCTCTGGTCGCTATTCAGTAGCGGTTTTCGATAGGGGCGGTTGCCCAGAGCGGCATCGTGGTGGGGGTGGCATCACGGGCATCTCCAAAAAAAAGTTGCTCATACTCATGCTGCCCCGACATCAGCCAGCGCATTTTGGAGATGGCATAGGCATGATTGTCCTTATCTTGGACAACATCTGCTTCTCAGACACCACCCTAACAGAGTCCAGCTCCATCCCATAACATTGCTGGCCTTGTGAATCAGTTTATTTAGTCTGTTAGCATCTGTGACCCTCAACCTGCTGCACCAGCATGCAACAGCATAGAGGATAGCACTGATCACAACAGAGATACAACAAGATAACATAAATTAGTAGGGATAGTGAAAACTTCTTTTTACGTTTGTTAGCCACTTGGCTATGATTGTAAACAGTAGCAGAGGGGGTGTTCGCCCAGGGCACCACTGGCTATGGTGACGTGTAAATATTTCCTTCAAAATAAGACACACAACTACAACACCGGAAAAGATCCAGGGAAACCAAGTTAACGATAAAAACCCTGAAAACCATAAATTTCACACCTGAGTCTCAACTCTCACAGCCCGGTATAAACGACTCACGGACCGGTACTGGTCCGTGGCCCGGAGGTTGGGGACCGCTGCCCTACACTATCAGAGAGAGAATCACAGCAATCATACAATCCCCTGTGAGCAAGCCTTGGTGACAGTGGGAAGGAAAAAAAACACCCTTTTAACTGGAAGAAACCACTGACAGAACAAGGCTCAGTGCTGCAAATGGTTGTAATGGACGACCTTTCATCCAGTCTTGAAAACATACCTGTAGTTAAAGAAACTGATTTGTATCATCTGGTTCCAAACATAAATATAACTGCACAGCAGTGAAAATATATATGCTCTGACTTCTGATAATAATCCCTTATTGAACTTTTCTGTGAGTGAAAAACTGTTTACTTGTTTACGTGACCAGTTTAGGATTTGTCAAATAACTATTGAATTGAATTGAATTGAATCTTTGTTTTGAACATGTTAAAAAAAAAAAGGTAACAACAGAGAAATAAAAAGAGACAAACAAACAACGCATAACAAAAGGAAAACAAACCAACCACAACTACAAAAAGCTTTCATGTTCAAAAAAAAGTAGGAAAGCCTAAATTTATTTAATCCCACCCCCTTCCCACTACCTAGTAATCAATAGCCTACACCTTTTCTTCCTGTTTAAAATTTCAACACATTGTATTCACATATTGTACACATATTGTATTCTAGGAAATGTGAAGTTACTTTTGTAAAATGTTTTATTCAGTTATCAAATGCTGCAGTGACGTCTAGCAATACACAGTTCTTTGTAGGAATGTGGACTATTAGATATGTTGATAGTGTGGATAAAGGCGTTACTGAAGTTAGTTCAGAGAAATCAATAGGAAGCAAGCAGTCTAAATAAATATCAGTAGTTACTTAAATAAAAGAAAAAATATTTCTTTTAATTTATTTTAAATGAAGCAAACTCTTTGTCGTCATGGTTACAGTGATGACAGTAATGATGTCCTGGCTTTGCAGCTTTTTTTAGGAAATAAAGTACTGGGTGTTTTTTTTTTTTTTACACGTTTCTATTTGAAATTGTTTAAACTTTATTGCACTTCATATATCTATTGTTAAACTGCTTTAATATCAGCTTGAAACTCTGGATACCAGAGTTTGGCGATATAGCTGCATACCGTGCACATTTACTCATGTAGTAGTTCAAATTCTCACCAGTTGGAGCGTGATATCCGTAGACTTCCACTTCACAGAGTGCGAGGACCCTTTCTGAACCAGGAAGAGTCAAGGTTACATAACGCCCCTCCACACGACCAGCGAAATTCACAGTGTAGGATTTGCCTGCACCAACTTCAGAAATTTTTCCAACCCTAACAAGAAATGTGTGAGAAAATACAATTTACCATGGCAGCAAATATCAGAACATATGATAGTCAGCGTGATCATTTTTAATTAGTGGAATTTGCTGGTAGCGCCAGAGCCACAGACATGGCACAGAGAGGAGATTGGAGTGAGTGAATAGGTTGAAAAAACATGGGCCTTTAAGACAGGTGCTTGCTGTAGTAGTTTTCATACTGGTATTTATTTATTTTTTTACTGTAAGCACTCCATAACTATAGCACAACACACAGAGTCATTAGGACTTCTTTCACTTTATTCTTCTTGTGTTGTGTCGACAAAATTTACAAAAACTGTAACCTAATTTTCTCTATTTTAATATACAATGGAATGATTTAATATAGGAATCTATTATATGGAGTGCCAACAAAAAGAATATGGGCTGCAGTCCTACAGCAACCTCTCCATTACCGTTCAGAAAAACAGCAATAAAAAAACACTGCAAAGGTAAAAATGAGTAAAATGCCAAAACAGGATAACCAGAACAAAAGACAAAGAATCACATTTCTTATTGCTCTATATTTACTAACTTTGGGTTATTTAAGCCATCATTATTCAAAGAGTTGCCTATGTAGATCTCCAGCCCGTTGAGCTTTTCATGACAGCAGTCTCCTCTGTTGGTGATGGTGAGGGAAGTGACAATGTAGGACTCGAGCAAGTCCACTCTCCACCAGGGGTCGGTCTGTTGATCGGTGTGCGAGCATGATCCGTGGTGAAGGTCAGAATCACGGTTTCCATCAATTGCAGCGTAGGCAGCCGACAGTACCGCACTCATACAGGTTGACTGGGTTGCTTTTCCATGCAGGGCCACATTTTCTGGAAATAGCAGAATGCAAATGAAAGATATCATGAAAGGACATGCAGCTGAAAATGAGCACCCATCCAAATGTATCTCATTTAGTTACTTCCTGATGTAGTTAGCTTGATAACTCTGTTTACAGTAATACAGTGACTGTAGTATATGAACATATTTGGATAAGTATATTTGTTAGAGCTGCACAATTATCAGCAAACACAACTGCTGGTAAGTCTACCCATCATTCAAAATGATTACATATGCTGAATTTGGTGAGCCAAAAGAATGGTTTGAAAGAATGTTCTTACTGTAGAAACTGAAAAACTGACTCCTTCATGGGTTTTTTGGAAGGTTTATTGTCTTACGTGTTATGTAAGACACTGATGTTGCTTAAATGTCTCATTTAATAATTTGTATAAACTTTTTTTCTTAGTTACATGAAACATCCAGCTCTAAACAAAAACTGCAGTAACTGCAAATAACTAGGCATATTATACTCTGTTAAGTTTCTGTTATACTACTTCACTCTCTATCTCTACCTGATGATAAACACATTGCCTCTTATTATTACGCTGTCTTTTACATATAACTAGTTTTCCTTACAAAAAAAGAGCCCATATACATCCAGATCATACTTACGATGCGTGCATGCTGAGGACATTCCCAGGAGAAGGAGCAAAACCAGTTCTGAAACGTGTTTCATTGTTGCTACTGTTCACACTGGGAAAATAGAAATACATTCAGGAAATGTGCTTGAATTCACCCCAACTTGCACATTTTTTAAACTCTAAACTAAATTTAAACAAAAACTAAACACATTTATGTGAAGTAAAAACAAAGAGTGACCCTCTTAACCCCCTTAGAGAATATTTTACATCTTTAAATGAAAACTACATACCTTATAATCAGATGAGGAGCTGCTGTTAAGGATTGTTACTTATATTCACATCCAACCAGGGCACATGAGCTTTGTTTATCAATAACCCACCCAGGACTTTGTCCTTTTACTTGTAGAGATAAGCCTCAGCTACCAAATAAGATAGGATATTGGGAGCTTCTGATGTTTTTGTAAAAATGCCTTGGTAATGCAGGCTAGATCTAAGGTTTATGGTACCATGTCTTCTAAAACGTAAGAAGAAAAAGTGATGTAAAAATAGAAAAAGTGGCAAGATTAATAAAAACAAGAAGAAAACATTTCACAAAGACTTTAGAAAAAGTAAAATGGGTTTCATATACTCAAATCAATCTCAAGTGGGTTAAATCCTAAAGTAAATCTGACCCCAACCTTAGTAATAAACTGACTCGGTTCTGGTATATTCAGTTTTCAACAAATATAAGCAAAATATGAACATTTATGCTAAATATGCCACACTATTGTAATTTATTCTCATCTATAGGGCCGTGCTAATGTGCTTGGAGCAAAAAAATAGCTCCTGTTCCACTCCCTGTGCTTCGTGTACAGGTTTTTCTGTTGAATATAAAGGATTTTGCTCACTAATCTACCAGATATTTATCAGCTGGGGTTTGAAATTCGTAGTACCATTATCATAAACTGCCGTTATCAGCTCAGCTTGGATTTAAACAGTACACCCTTTTTACTGGGCACCTGCCACATTTTATATCTCTTGTGCTTGATTAAACTTGTGAAGGGTTTTAACAAACTACTTTTTTTAAATTAGTGAATTTAATTAGACTAACAGAAAGAGAGAAAAGTAGAATGTAGTGCAATTTTACCGTTCAACCAAAAACAAATAAAGTAAATCAATAAAATCAAATCAAATCAAATCAAATAACCATTTCACCACTTTTTGGAAACACTTTCTTAACTTTTAGATTATATGTTAATGTACTTTATTTATAAGAAGTAAACTGTCACGGCGAGTGGGAAGAGCCGTGTGGAAAAGGAAAAAGAAGATCCAAACGCAGGCAGTCGTGAAGGTGTGAAGGTGATTTAATGAACACGAAATATAGAGAGGCAAACGGCAAAACGGAAAACTAAACTATACTGGGACAACTAAACTACAGAGCATGAACAAGAACACGAACATAAAGGAAGGAAGACGATGGTACATGATGGTGACGGCAGGGAACACACAGATGAAACATGGTGGGAACGCAGACGGACCAGCAACTACAATGACAGAGGACACGACTTAAATACACACAGAGAAACACAGGAATTACACACAGGTGGTGGACACAGCTGGGAATAATCAACAAGACGAGACAGAGGGAAAACTGAACACACTCACAGGAGACTCAAACCTTCACAATAAAACAGGAAATGAGAACACTACAGGAAGACGCAGACCTGACACTGAGAGACAGACGGAGAATGACACATGGAACCTGAACTAAACTAAACGTGAGATACAACCGAGAACAAATCCTTAACATGAATAAACAGAAACAGAATTCTAATAATAATAATAATAATAATAAACCTCATAGTGCCCAAAACCACAACAATTATCCAAAAATAAACTAACAATCCAAAACTCAAAATACTGGGTCGAAACTGACCCAGAACCGTGACATAAACCTATGTGAAGGCAGCTTTATTCTCTTATTCTTGAACAGACAGATAGATACATGTTATTGAGGTTTTATTTACATCACGGTGTAGTCATGTAAACTTGCTCCACCTCCTGGCTCTGTACAGACACAGGCACAAACTAAGTATTGTATTACCTGACAAAAAATAATCTCACTTGTTTGTGCAAGAGGTTAAATCTGACCAAAGCTGGTAGGCAAAAAAAAAGTGTCTCCACAAGATGGCGCCATCCTGACTGCTGCTCACAAATAGTCAACCTTGTCTATCAAATTACATGGCAATAGTTAATTTATATTGCACCAGTATAGACAATAGCTTTGAAAAGTAAAAGTGCTAATTTAGTACATATAACCCCTCCCCCTCCAAAAAAGTAAGACTGAACTCTCATATAAGTCTCATATTATGTTTGAGTAGTTAAAGCAGAAAAAAATCTGTAAGCAACACCAAAAAAATTTAAATTGTGTTTTGTTACTATAATGTGGCTACTTGGATCTTGTTGGCAAAAACACTTTCACTGGATTATAAAAGTTCATACGAAGATTCAAATCTATATGTTGCAGGAAAAAGTATCAAACCACATGAGAACAACGGACAAGAGTAATATAATAATAATGATGACAATCAAATGAATGAATAAATTTTAGACATTAATCTTAGATTAAAAAAACAAACTTTATTCTCCTCTTAGTTTTGTGAATTTATAACCATAAAGAATGCAAGATTTTTCTTTAAAAATGTAATATTTTAATCTAAGTTTTTTGACATTTTTGACTTGAATTTTGGAAATTGATAGTTTTGTACTCAAATTACTTATAATGGCTATTATTAAGTTATTATATCAACCCGGTCCCCTTTTTAAATTTTTTTTAATCTTACATACAATGGCCCCAATACGCCGTCTTACTTTTAACATAAACTAACGGGGGAAAAAAAGGAGGAACCTTCTCAGGTGCCTACATTTCCCATGGACCATCTGATATTCAGGCTCGCGAGACTTCAAATTACTCAACACGTTTGCGGCTGCGCAATGTCATTCGAAAACTTGCACGCTGAGGGACGCCGTGGAG